ATTATTATTATAAATACAATTCCTGAAATTGGATAGAGAAGGATGCGTGGAAGATTTCTGGCTGACCTGACAAACACACCACATGGAAAACATCAGTTTAAGATGGAGCCTTAAAGCCTGTCAAGAGCAAACAACTGTAAAATGGATTTGTACAGAGCAGAGGTTTCATGTCAAATATGTTGCTGGCCTTTGTATGAAATACAAATATAGTGAATTACATTTATATTTTAACAAGGAGTTTTTTTTACACCCTCTACCTAGATTTTTACTGTGTAACTTTTTTCACTGTAACCTGTGAAGCAAGTTTTGACAGAATGTGGGGCAGGGTTATAAAGGGCAATATGTTTTGAGCCAAGAGTTTTAAGACGCCTCTACCCACCATAACCCTGTCTGTTAAAGTTTAGAGATTCCCTCTTCCCTGCTCTGGTGAGAAAATTAAATTTCCAGTTAGCCACAGGGTCACTAATTACTGTAGCTGTGCTCCTGTGTGCTAGGTTGAGTTAAGCTGTTATTAGCTTGCTCCAAAAAGCTCCAGAAAGGGTGAGTCGCCCTGCTGTTATTGTTCTTGAAAACCATTTCTACTCTTTAAATAAAGGGAAAGACTTGAATTGCTTTGTTGACTCCTTGGACAACAGTTGTTTGCTAGGCATGAAAAAGACTGATCTACAAAGGATTTGTGAAACTGCTGCTCTTCAGATAGGAGTCAAAAACTACTTGTTTTAATCTTTTCATTTCAGCTTCATTTAAACGCCCCTAAAAAGTTCTCGGAAAACAGATTCTTTTATATAGCCCTAACTAGAATTTCATTCATTTTTCACAAAATGTAAAAGCGTGTTTTTCAGTTTGTTGGTTGAGTCATTGATACACAGACAGACCCCGGAAATGAAGTATAGAGTATCTAATTAAAATGCTATTTTCAGATCAAGCACACCTTCTATTTACAGACACTAGTCACCGGGCTGGATAGATCCTGCTTCTGCTGTGTGGTCCTGCTAAATCAACACCACTGGCCCACCGCGAAGTAAAGGACGTCTGAGCCCTTTATCCCCATCTCCGTCTCACACCCGTTTCTAGGAGCTGGTTTGGTAACTGCGGCGCGCCTCTCCTATCAGCTGGGTCTTCTCGCTGGCACTCGTTGGCTGAAGCACAATGGGGGTGTCTCCATCTGTGAATGCAAAAAAACGCTCCTGAGAGCTCGCCTCAGATGAAAGCAGACCAGAGGAATAGCTATTAGCGCAGTAATTGGAGTGTAACTACCGTAGGTATATTGCAATATCACAGTATAACAGTGGAATTGCTATAGTGTAAAGTGTATTATAGCATATCTTGTTATAATGCATGTCATAAAGATATTATGATGTAATATAATATCTGTAATAATGTAATACAGGTCCTGTGTACTGCAGCCCCACCCACCTTCTGCTTCTGCGGTTAGCTTTGCAACCTTGCAGTGCTGGGGGCCCGAGTTCAATTCCAGCTCTTTCCGAAGCACTTAGGAAGGATCGATCAGTTAAATTGTCACCTGAATATCACCTTCTGCTTAGAATGTGGAGTGTGGTCCCCACAACAGAAAGGCCGCCCTCTTTCAGGAACCTAAGGCACTCAAAATGCAAGCATTGTAACTCTCTGCTCCTGTTTGGCAAGAAGAACAGTTGAACTGCAGCAGGAATCCACAGACTCAGCAAGGGCTGGTACCTCCATGACAGGCTAGGGAACAATACATCATTCATTACTTGGGCCTCTGTCCTCCCTCCACTGGCAGGGAGCAATGATTGATTCATCGGAAGCATCTGTTTAAATACCACAAGCTGGCAGCCGGCAATCTGTCTGCAAGAGGGCTCCACACAAGCAGAAGGGAAATTGTGGAAAATGTGTCACCAGATCATGCTGGCCCAAATGACAAGTATTTGAACCTTGCGATGTAAAATTAGCACATTTGTGCTTTGCTGAAATATGAAATACATTCTCTCTTTAAAGAATGAGAATTACCAATGATGGATACCAAGAGTCTGGATCAGCTCTAATCAGCTCTGCTCACTGCAATAATCCTTGTACTTGCAGAGCAAAGGTGAAAACTATGCATTCAGCCTATAGCTTTACAGTACAGCTCTTATGCCACGCCCTTGTCATTTCCCGCATGTCCACAGTACAAGAGAGATATAGAGACTACAAGAAAATGAACAGGAGCCATTGCTGTACAACAACACCCTGAACATCTCAAGTGGGGTGTGTTAGTCACAGAGCAGGTGAAGTAGCTGGGAAGACTGAGAGACAGAGGGAGAAAGCATCCTCTGGGTGAAGAGAAGGAAAAATCAGTGGGAATTCTTCCTCATTTTTATAAGGAAAAAAGGTGGGAAAGGGTGAAAGGGGGAATGTCGGAGGGACATTTCAGTGCCAGGCATGCTTTAGCGACCTTTTAAAGATCATTTGAAAAATACATTAAAATGCTAACAACATCAGCTGCTGTATTACCCCACAACTCACAGCTGGCAGCCCACTGAAGCTCAGCGGGTGTGAGCCTGGTCAGTTCCTGGATAGGAGACCTCCAAGGAAAAACTAAGGTTGCTGCTGGAAGAGGTGTTAGTGGGTCCAGTAGGGGGTGCTCACCCTGCGGTCTGTGTGGGTCTTAATACCCCAGTATAGTGAGGTGGACCCTTATATATTGTAAAAAGGGTGCTATCCTATGGATGAGATGTAAAAACCAGGCCCTGAGTCTCCTTGGTCATTAGAAATCCCAGGGCATTTCCCTGTTCTCCTCCTCACTGGGAGCTGATGTGTGGTGAGCATACTGGGGCTTTGAGGCTGCATTTTCCAGGTGGGGGCTACACATTGGTGCTGGTGAAGAGGAGTCCCCACTACTGTAAAGGGCTAAAGTGGCATGTCCAGAAAAGCATTATAGAAGTGTAAGGGATTATTATTTGTTTTAATATATTTAAAACAACAATTAACAATAATATAATAATTCATAACCTTAATAACTTTATGATTAATGACTTACTTTAAGCAATGGAGAGAACCTCAGGGGAACCTCAGATAAAATGGGGTTTTATCAAGAAAGAAAGGTTTCTAGGAACTAGGAAGGTTTTTGGTAAGTCTGTAACAAATGATTAATCCCAAGGTGAGTGGAGACTTGGGCTTGTGAGGACTTCTGAGTGCCTCTCAAACCTCTTCCACTGCTCTCTCAAAGCGCCCCTCCGGCCCCTCAAGCACAAGAGATGAGCAGACATGATTATCAAGATGGGTGAAGCACCTGCCTTCTGTAAAATCGATTAAAAGGACTGATCTATTTTTTCCAGCTATATCAGTGCATGTTAAGTGGATGGCATGGCATGACTTAGTTTTGCACCTAGAGAGAGGTACTTGTGTCTATCATCTCTTCCAGTACACCAACCAAAGAAAAGCAATGCATTAGGCATGTGAAATGCCACATCGAGTGAAAATTTCAAAGACCTCTTCATTTTTCAGGACCCTGTCTATATACAGTTTGTACAAGAGAATAACCTGCCTTTCTGGTGTGAAAAAGCTTGACTTTCTGAAGCAGTTCTTAAGGTGTCCATCTTGAATGATGTGAACGCAAACTTAAGTTGTGCCTGAAATTTGCAGAAAACTTTAGCCCGGCTCCTCCCACATAAAAAGGATTGGTTTTGTTTGTATTGTTTTCTTGAATAAAATGAACAAATTAAATGCTTTAACCTACAGTATATTGAGATCACTTTATTGGCCATATACAATTTCTTGCATTAGGAATTTGTCTTTTGGCATACCCCAGCTTGATCTCCATGAGACACACAGGTGGGGAGAGAGAAGCTTGGGGTCAGAGCGCAGGGTCAGCCATTTATACGGTGCCCCTGGAGCAGTTGGGGCTAAGGGACTTGCTCAGGGGCCCAACAGAGTAGGATCTATCTGCCAACCGCGGGATATGAAACAGTAACCTTCCAGCCACAGGGGCAGATCCTTAGCCACAGAGCCATAATTACTATTACTAACTCTGAAATAACATCCATCCGTCAATTTTCTACCTGTCACAACACAGAGGTGAGATAGCCAGAGCCTATCCCATCACTAACTCTTTTCATTCTCCTGAAAAGACTCCTAATCAGACTTTGTGACTGATTAATGAAGTAACAGGCGTAAGACAGGACTCTGAAGTAACATTGTTGATGTAAACTGAAATAATTTAATTATCATCTTAATGAGATATCCTAGCCCTATTTTAGGCAAAGCAAGGGGCATAGACGTGGAGTTACAGTGGTTCCTAGTGATGGCCATGTGATTATACTGTACATATATGTCCATACCTTAACTACCTTACATAGAGATGTTCCCAAGTCTGGTTTTCTTTTTCTTTAACTGTACAGATGCATTATAATAAAAGGTGGAAGGAACCAGATTCGTCGTATACTGTTTGTAAGGACAAGATTTAAGCCCCTCATAATAAAAGAGAAGGGACCGTACCTGTTGGACACAGGTTGGTTTTATGGCAATGGATTTTAATATTCTTTCACAGTTATGTATTTTTCTTGCATGTATTCGGTAGTTTGAGGGTTATTTTCAATATACATTCTTTATCGGGAATATCTTTGTACACACCTGTCCTGCATGTTTATCTTATGGTTTGGCAAAAAAAAGAAGATATCGGAGCGAATCTGACATATTTTAAATGTGTAACAGCATGTGAGCTTTTCTATTTTTGTGAAATGACTGAAAATAACTCACACAAAAATACATTTTGACTAATGACTCACATAAAGCAGTCATCAGTGCTTGTGGAGACCCACTGCAGACAGGCAGCTAAGTGGCCCAGAAACAATATGTCACATCCTGGCATCTGGTAGAAATACCTACAGTAGCTGATATTGTTGCTAATTAACCGGGTGACTTTGTCTATAATGAAAAACACTCTTAATCTTTATCAGAGCTTTGTGACGTCAAAGTTGAATGTTTTACAGCCTTTTCTAAAATAAATTGGTAACGACCATAAAAAATTTAAAATAAAACACAGAAGTGCGATAAATGAACTAAGCTGTGATTTTATAAATTTATTATGACATCAGAAGCTGTCTGCAAAATTGTTGTTGTTTTTTTATGAAAGAGCTCCTTGTGAAAGTTGTTTGGAATTATTGTCAGAATACCCCCCTGGATGGAATGCCCATCGCAGGGCACACACGGACACAGAGATGCACACCCACACTCTGGGATCAATTGTCTCAGAAGCCAAATAACCTGCCAGTTCGTCTCTGGACAGTGGGAGGAAACCCATGAAAACCCAGGGAGAACATGCGTGCTCCACATAGATAGCACCACCTTGCTCTGCAAGGCTATATAACAATGATAACCAATGCCCCACTAAGTCACCTTGCTGAGACTCAACCAAGTGACAATTATTTTGATGCTTAGAGAAACAGTGGAGCAAGAGCAAGTAAGCAGAGATCTGTTATGTTCTTTGTTTTCACATGGGTGTTATTACTGTATTTACGAAAAGAAATACAACCTTTTGCTGGACCCCAACAGAGCATCAGATTCAAATGAACAATAACTTCACACTGTAGTTGTTTCCACTGTGTCATCACTAACTCTTTTCATTCTCCTGAAAAGACTCCTCCTAAAATGTCGCCTGCACTGCAAGTAAAAAAACAGCCGTTCACGATAACTCTCCTAAAATAGCCAGCAGCTACTGTATATCACCCTGCAGCTCACAACTCAGCTCAGCAGGTGTGAGCCTGGCCAGGACCTGGATGGGAGACCTCCCGGGAAAGCTAAGGTTTCTGCTGGAAGTGGTGCTAGCAGGACCAGTAGGGGGCGCTCACCCTGGGGTCTGTGTGGGTTCTAATGCCCTAGTATAGTGACAGGGACACTATACTGTAAAAAGGTGCCGTCCTTTGTAGATCCAGACTCTCTTTGGTCACTAAAAATCCGAGGGCATTTCTTGAAAAGGGAAGGGGTGTTACCCTGGCATCCTGGCTAAATTTCCCCCAGCCTTTACCAATCATGGCCTCCTAATCCCCATCTCTGAACTGGCTTCATCCCTCTGCTCTCCTCCCCACTGATAACTGGTGTGTGGTGAGTGTACTGGTGCACTATGGCTGTTGCATTATCCAGATGGGACTGCACATTGGTGGTGGAGGAGGGGAGTCCCCATTACCTGTGGAGTGTCCAGCAAAGCGCTATATAAGTGTGAGAATTATTAGTATAAAACAGCTCCCGGAAGAGCTTTTGGGTGGGGATGTGTATACAGACATGACGTCCTTGGGCTTCACTGGGTCCGAAGGTCACACAGCCTGTGCGCTCTGGGGCGCGGCACTCACCTCTCTCCATGTCCGTGCGGATCTGCTCCTCCAGGTCCTCCGGGGACACGTAGCTGTCAGGGTCCTCCTCTCCCGGGACACGGGGTTTGCACTTGCCGCAACAGCAGTTACAGCAGCAGCACAAGCAGCAGCAGAAGTAGCAGCCTGTCAGGAGGCCGCAGATGGCAAAGAGACCCTGGGCGACAGCAAGGCCGACTGCGGTTAACTACGATTGGGGACTGGCAGGCAGCGCTCTGATCTCAAGAATGAGTCAAAGGTTTATTCCCTGCTAAAAGAGAAGAAAGGAAACACAATGTTTCGGCTGTGGAGCCTTCTTCGGGTGTGAGGGGAAACATTGTGTTGCCTTTCTTCTCTTTTCAGCATGGAACAAACCTTTAACTCGGTCTTTTGCAGCCTACACCTTGCTTACGCAGCTCCCTACTTGATCTCAAGAATGACAGGCACTGGCTGCATCGCGGAGCCACACAGAGATCAATGAGCCTGGATTCAGCTGTCCCCGTGTGATACTCCACCTGTCTCGAGGGGCCCCAGTTCACACTGCTCCCCTGAGCTATGCCAGATCTTTTGAGAAAACCTGACCCGGTATTAAGTTTAACAGCTTTTGCGCTGCCCTTTGACAAGACAAATGGGTAGAAACATGGAACTGGCCTAACCTGGTAGGAAAATTGCATACTTTATTGGAAATAAACTCACATAGGATAGGTGAGAAACATCTTCCTTCAGATGTTTTCTCAATAACTTTTTTTTTAAGTTTGCACTTCATTTTCATCTTTAGCTTTCAAGCTCATTTGGAACTTGCTTCATTCACAATCTCACTGTAGAATTCATGTATGTCTCTTTTTGAATTTTTTTTAAGGACATATTCTCAATTGTGTATCAAATAAAGATGGATATCATCTGCCTCACTATTGGTCAAACCCATGTTGTCTTTTTGGTGATGAGTAATTCTGTGATTTGTGGATTTATTTCTACATAAGGTTGTGACAGTGTTTGAACTTAAATTGATTTTTGTTTGTGGGAAATTTGGACAGGACACTTTTATGCCCCAGCCTTTGTGATTTTATTCTCTATTGTGGTGATTAATTGAACTTAAACATTACCAGTGAAAGGATCTGGTAATGTTGTAAGATGCATTCAGCACTATCTAGTGGTGAAATAACCACTTAGAATTTAAGAATAACTTAACAATATACTTGTTTTCTCCTGGACAGCCCTGGTTTATCTTATATCCTTTGGGATTCCTCTAAAATACATCCTAAATGTTGTCCAGACTTTTAGAATTTCAATGATATTCCCAGGACATCTTACCTTTGCCCACCAGCTGGAAAGCATAAAATATGTGTTAACATTTTCTTCTCCGAACTGCTGTGACACATAGAGACCCAGGGAACCATACTTGTCGTAAATGTTCTTCTTTGTGGTGTCACTCAATATAGAGTGGGCATTGTTTATTTCCTTGAATTTGTCCGTAGCATCAGGATTCTCCGGATTCTTGTCTGGATGGTACTTCAGAGCTAGTTTTCTGAAAGAAAGAGAACACTGGCATCTCACCATGGCATCATCACTGAAAAGCATATTCACTGCTTAGTTTAATGAGCTCATTTTGCAGCTTATGTCACAGAGTGGCAAAAGTAAGTACAGGGCAGTGGCTTGGGGGCTAGACTGACTTTAAGTAGGCATTTAATGGCCAGAGATTCTGTCAGGATCTGATGTGTCCTTTTCTTCTGCTTCCCGCATTTAATTAAGGTCTCCAAGCCTTCCTGGTGAAAACAGTAGGGCAGCTGGCAATCAACAAAGACTGAAGGACACACTGTTCGGTTAGACACACTTTAATTACCACACAATCAGTGGTACTGCAGCCTTATCTCTCTGCAATGCAGACCCATTGTAACTCTAGCCATTGTCCCGTACGGACTCCTCCTAAAACTTCCCTTGCACTGCAAGTTAAAAAACAGCCATTGATAATGACTGTCCTAAAATACCCAGCAGCTATATCACCCTGCAGCCCACTGAAGCCAAGCAGGTGTGAGCCTGGTCAGTACCTGGTTGGGAGACCTCCTGGGAAAACCTAAGGTTGCTGCTGGAAGAGGTGTTAGTGGGGCCAGCAGGGGGTGCTCTGCGGTCGGTGTGGGTCCTAATGCCCTAGTATAGGGATGGGGACAATATACTGTATAAAAAGGCGTCGTCCTTCGGATGAGATGTAAAGCTGAGTCCTGACTCTCTGTAGTCATTAAAAATTCCAAGGTGTTTCTCGAAAAAAGTAGGAGTGTTACCTCAGTGTCCTGGCCAAATTTCCCCCGGCCTTTACCAATCATGGCCTCCTAATCCCCCTCTATGAACTGGCTTCATCGCTCTGTTCTGCTCCCCGCTGAGAGCTGGTGAGTGATGAGAGTACTGGCGCACTGTGGCTGCCGTCACATCATCCATGTGGGGCTACACACAGGTGGTGGTGGAGGGGAGTCCCCATGACCTGTAAAGCGCTTTGAGTGGAGTGTCCAGAAAAGAGCTACAGAAGTGTGAGCAATTATTATAATTATAAGAGCCCAGCTGAGCAAATGCCACCAGAGTACAGCAAAATAGTGAGAAAAGGAGCTTCTTAACCCCGTCCCATTCCCTCCCCAGTGTAAAACAGGGTGTGGGGAGAGAAGTGTGCTCTCCCCCGAACGAGGATGAGCCACTAGTGTCCGACCACAGAGGGAGTCATGTTACAATGAAGCAGCGTAAAAGCCAGTGAGAGAATAGATTTTAATGCTCCAGCCGCCTACAGTATATGTCAATATTTTATAATATGTCTTTGTTGTAAATGTCTGTAATATGTCTGTAGATTTTATTTTACTTCTATTTTTTGTTTTGTTCTATGTTAATTTTATTATTTTTATTTGCTTTGGCAACACTGATTGTACCCATCGGTCATGCTAATAAAGCACCTTGAATTGAATTGAATTGAATGGAGAAGCGTTGCCATGACCTCCAAGCAAACGAAATGCAAAGTGGCTCAGCAAGTTTCCATTCACTGTTTAACAGAGGTGCAATCCCTCTCTCAGTGAGAGGAGAAGTGGAAGCACCCTGAAGCGCACGTCATGCCATAGACAGAGATGTAGGTCCTGAGGCTGGGAGGCTCAGGTGAAACTTCAACCATTGTAAGACCAGGAAAAGTCTACCAGGCTGTTGGAGCTTTAACCCATTTTAAGTCATTTAAGACAAATACCACAACTATTGCAATTTGTGACCCACAATGTGCAACACAGCCAACATCCAATTTGTGCCGAAGATGAACAGCTCTAAGTGATGTGGCTTCATCATGATGACAACAACCTGGAGAAATGGCTCCATTAATTGTCTGTAGATACATCTATTTATATAGCTGATGTCTTTATAAAAAGCGACTTACATTTACACCTCTTTAAACAGCTGTGTATTTTACTGGCGAAGTACCTTGCTCAAGGGTACAACGGTAGTGTCTCACCTAGGATTTCAACTCTTGACCTTCTTATAACAAGTCCAGAACCATAACTACTGCTCCACAGTGCTGCCTCATCTTATCCAATTAATTATGTCAATTAAGCAAATAAGTTCAGAGCTAGAATGAGGATGCTGAGGATGCTAGAGGCCTAGCAGAGCACTTATCATCCTGGATGACTAGAGATGCCCATCCCTTCTGTAACTTAATAAATAATACAATGGCTTCATTTTTCTGCACATTAACTAGGAAACTATTACTGATCAAATACCCAAGCTTTTGCAGATATGTCTTTTGATCTGATCAAAAATCACCAGTCCTGCATTTGCTAAAGTAAAAAGAACAATGTCAGTTGGTGTTGTTTAATTTATTTATAAGCAGGCAAAAGCTCCCACCCTCACTCCCACAGCCCACTGGCCCACCTGTGGAGCCCTGGCTACTCACTGGGCTTGCACACACTGGCTGGGGGGCAGCCTAGAGGGGGTCAATGAACTAAGGTGGAGGAAATAAACAACCCGAAGGCAGCTAGCATGAATTTAACAATACTATCAGCCCCCTTCCCAGCAGCCCCTGGCACAGAAGCTGCATAATTAATGTCTTATCACTGCCTGCAGTACAACCCCAGGCAGATATGCATAAGTAAGGGGCTTATGAAGTATTTCCTGCGATTAACTTAGATCTCCAGGCATACAAATCTACTGTGGAAACTAGAAATCAACAGAAATCATTTTATGGCTTTATTTGAACAATTAGTTAAATGGCAAATTAATGCATTTGGAAAGCCTTAGAGATATTATCCTTACAATTTTTAACAAAGGTGTAATCCCTCATTCAGGCTAGCGAGTCAATTGACACATTCTCACTTACAATGATGACCTTAAGATCCATTTATACAGCAGGGCATTTAATGGAGCAAACAATGGGGACAACAGGGGACAGCAGTAGCATCCTACCTAGGAACTGAACCTGTCTGTACCCACAGTCTATTGCAGCTGTTACAGTATGTGCCCTGGCCAGGATACAGACACTGGGGCTGGGCAGATTGTCACAAGTACAAGATGGCAGAGAGGATGTAAATAGGAATATAGATGAACACCCCACAATATCTTTTCCAGAAAACAATTACTCTTTAATCCGACAGGCAATGTAAAAAATCAGTATGCAATAGGTCAGTCTCTATCTGTTTCATTTGATTTTTTCTTGGGTGGTAGGGAAGCACCAAAGGGATATGGTTGTGAGGCCGGGAGTTCCTGATTGAGTTGATTATCTGAGGGTTTCCCTACCTCCTACCTTTCCTCCCACCCTAACACACTATCCCCAGGACCATTAACGACATTAACGAAAACTTTCCCATCTTACAGGATGATCTGTCCATCCATCCTTTTTTTCTAACCACCCCATCATCTCATATCCCCAATCACCTAATCTGTATAACCTTCTTGTTCCCAGCTCCCTTGACCGCCCTCAGCAATCATCCACACCAGGCACTTTCCCCTGAAACAGTGCTCGCTGCACCAGCTGCAAATATATATATCCAACACCACGTTCATTCAAGGTCCCTCAGGACAATTCCAGATCACTCAGATGACATCTTGTACCTCCACCAACATTTTTTACTGTATCTCTTGCAGAAAACGCCCAGCAGGAAGGAGACTCTTAGACTCCTTCGGAGAACATATCAGGGCTGGGAGGACCAGAGATTTCTCCAAGCCCACAGTTTCTCATTTCACCTCTAACAGTCATGATCACACTGATCTCTCCGTCTGCGTTCTCAAACAAGGGTTTCTTAACTCCTATAGCAGAAAGACATCTGAACCCCAAATTATCCTGAAACTAGGATCACACCTCCCCCCTTCTCTCAACTACAGACTCATTTCTTTCTAATCCTCTCTCCTCATTTGTACAGTAGGTTTGGTTTCACACCTCTCCTCACCTCTCTCGACTTCGCGACGCCTGAGTGCCCACTCTGCCTCCCCCCTGCTTCCGCCTCCTCTCGACTCCCAGCTTTTGTTCTCCTATGCTTTATGAGCTGCTGACGTTCCTCTCCTCTCTTTCTCACAGCCGAAGAAGGCTCCAGAGCCAAAGCTTTGTGTTTCTTTCCTTCTCTTTTCAGCATGGAATAAACCTTTACTTGTTCTCTTCTGAAAATATACCCCATATATTTTCCATTACTGGAAGATAATGCCCATTTCTGTTATTGCTTATTCCAAGAACTCTACACAAGTTATTTAAACAGGCCTACCTTTCCTATATCCATGCTGGCTCCTCTAGGAAAACAATAAGAGGTAAACGGTACTAAAAACTTTTAGCATGCACTGCCTGGTTTGGTTTAAAGGAACAAAATGTGCTAAAGATAAATATAATCCTGTGTTATCTTTAATAACCTTCTCAGTTATACCAACAAAAAGAGACACAAATCAAGTATCTAGATGTGTACAGGTACGGTAAAAAAAAAAAAACTGCTGCAGTTTCAATTGACTGCAAACCAGTGTAAGACATCTGGGACCCATTAGCATTGTTCTGACACCTATCTGTACCATTCCTTGTACATTAGTTTAACAAATTAAGAAAGAAGATATGGGAAAGACAAAAACAATGTACTGAGCTTGGTTAGACATGTGGATGTGACAGATGTTCCAGGAGAACCAAAATGCAAAATAACCATCTCTCTCATCTCAATAAATTTGAACTTTAGAACTACTAATGATGAGAATGCAGAGTTGTTGCTCAGTGGGATTAGGGGTTACAAATGTTCTTCATTTACAGAAAGCATTAAATCAACATAACTGCTTAATATAATTTGTTTTCTGTTGTGGTACTTGAGAAAAATAATAATTGCTCTTCAACGTTTTATTACATTGTGTGTACAGTTGCATATTAATTTCGAATTAAAATAATAAACTTCACAAAGATGTAATTACTGCAATGATTAAATATTCATTAGCAATAAACAGATCACCGGGAAGAGCTTTTTTAAATGCAAACCATTTTAAATAGCCGTTTGAAAGAACATTAATGAGAAGAGTTTTTTAAAACTGATGTGTACGTTTTGTAGCAATGAATCAAGGACAAAGAAGTTTTATTTCGTTTTCTTCCAGTGTGATTTTTCATATTCTGGGAAGTAGTTCATAACTTAAAGTTAGGAAAATGAAAATGAGAGATTTTGAATCCAGTTCCTGTCTAGAAGGACATAGGTGCATATCCATTTTAAAGTTTGTTACTTGTTTTCATGTGTTTTACATATGCAAGTAAATGATTTTTTATTTCGCTGCACAGTTTTATAGAAACTACAGTGGGAGCTGCATCAACATGTAGCATGCAGCAAAGAAACATGTAGAGGTTAATTTCATGCTGAAATTTAAAAAGAAAAAATGTTTAAACAGTGGAAGCTGCCTGTGGTGTGTGGTTAACAAAACTAATCATGAGAGAAATACATCAGGTGCTTCTGAGTACAGTCATTATGTCCGATTCTCTTTAAAAACTTAAAAAAAGAAGCAAAAATAAAAATCTCAAACTGAAATCACAACGAAATAATTCAACTCTTTCATCTTCTTTTCTTACAAGTTACTGAAGTTAATTCCTGGTGTAACCTGCAATATCCATTGAACGGTACAACATCTACACTGTAGAAAGTTTGGAATATTCTCAAGTTTGGCAACTATCAGCTCTACTCCAGATTAAAGAATCTTCTGGAGTCGGCAAATGCCTGTAGTGACAGAAGAAGAGTCTGTTTTATGTTATTTCCTCTGAGCGGAAATGCATTTTTCATGCTTCCTCTAGGACTGCTCCCAAACAGCAGCCATTATGATACTTTATTAATAAAAAATAGTATTTTTAGGACTAAAACCTTAAAAGAAAGAACACCATCTGTTCCGTTTCATTAATATTTTAAAGTCATGGGTCCATCCATCCGTTTTCTAAACCGCTTTGTCCAGTACAGGGTTTGGGGAGCCGGAGCCTATCCCAGCAAGCAACTGGCACAAGGCAGGATACACCCTTGGCTGGATGCCAGTTCATCGCAGGGCACACACAGACACAAACACACATACTCACTCCAGGGCCAGTGTTCCCAGAAATCAATTAGCCTATCAGAAGTTTGGACTGTGGGAGGATACTGGTGCTCCTGGAGGAAACCCACAGAAACAGGGAAACCAGACAAAATTCCATACAGATACAGTACTGTAGCTCCCAAGGTCTGGAACTGAACTCATGGTGTCATTTTAATGAATGCATTTCTTTCTAATTGCAATAGTGATTCTAAAAGGTCTCATCTTACATGTTTACAGAGAGAACAGCTCCATTTTCTAGTTTGGGTCTCTTTTGTCAAAATCAAGAATTGAGAAGGTTTGGATTTATTTATTGATTTCCAGAGGATGGTTACCTTGGCATAATGTAAAAAAAAGCTTCCGTAATTTGTGAACAAACTAATAACATTGAATCATTTCCTATGTTGCCTGAATAATCAATAAAATAATTTAGCTGATTCAACTTTTAGATTTATAATAAAGCAGTAAAACAGTGGCTACAGTTGGCAGTTAATCTATAAACTACATTAATAAAGCAATAAAATGGAGAAAGAAAGATAGAAATCGAGGTATTAAGCAAACAAAAACTTGAAAATTGAGAACTGGTGAGAGTAGCTGCAGACAGACATGCTCCGCATTTCCCCTCAACCGGAAACAGATTTACAGTACATTGTTACTCATTTAATTAACACTACTGTCCTGGAAAGCAAATATAAGGGGAGAAGGAGGTAGGGACAAAAGAAGTTTCAAACAAAAGTTTGGGAGGATGTCAAATTCTACTCTACCATTTCCATATACTGCACCTCTGACGATTTCAGCTTACCCAGTTACACATTTTCACCCAGTTTCATTTCGGAATTCGTCCCTCCACCTCATTCCCAATCTTCACTCTTGCAGCAGCTCCCTGCTTCATTCCTCACAAAGCACCCTCATTGTTACGATCAGATCATCATTCTCTTAGCCAGGCAAAATAAGCCCATAATGCAAACCAATTGAATTATGCCTCTACACCACCTTAATCAGAGTTTGTCCAAACTATTGAAATAATATTTGCTCTTTTCACGAAGATCAAGAATTATGTCATAAAATTGCAATAAAAAGACCTTTGTAATGGGTCCAAGTATCTCAGTATTCAAGCAGTATGCAAGCAAGTTGCAAGGTAAGCATAGAGGGTATGTAAAAAAACATTGCCTTGACTACTAGTTTTCTATTGAACTAAATGATTACCAAAAATAACACACTGCATGGGGTTTGTATGTTCTCCCTGTGTTCATGTGTGCTCTGGTTTTTCTCACAGCCCAGAGACATACTAGCAGGTTAATTGCCTTCTAGGAAAACTGGGCGTGGTGGGAGTGTGTGCGTATTTGTGTCTGTGAGTGACTCCTGTGATGGACTGCTCCAGGTTATATCCTGCCTTGTGTCCATTGTCTGCTGGGATAGGGCCCAGCACCCCTTCAACACTGAATTGGATGAAGTGGTAAGAAAATGGATGGATGGAAGAGTTAGAAGAAATAATGTGTTAAGATATATACTTAAAAGCATCAAATTTGAGTCAATGTCTGCTAAAAGTGTACAAAAACAACTAGTAGTACTAAGAACTGTAAGCAGTGCAAGTTGGCACAATATAAAGAAATGTTGTCACTATGGAATCATTCCAGAGAGGAGACATCAGATACAGTCACATACCATCCTAAAGAGATGTCCTTCACTGACTGGCTAATAGAACTGGCTTCTCAAACAGAGAAGATAAAGATGGGACCTGATTCAAGTAATCGAAATCCTGAAAGGCAACCCAGTGGTCTTCTTCATAATCAAACTTGATAGACTAAACACAGGTCAGAAGAGCAAACTACTGAATGTTAAATTGCATTACATCCAGAAAAAGGAGCTGCATTTATACACAAAGGGTTGGCAGAGTTTGAAGCAAGCTACCAAGCTGTGTTGTTGAAGCCAAAACCCAGATTTCTTTCAAGAAATGGTTGGATGTGATCCTGAGATCAATTAGCCATTAGCCATTATCTCTAAGTCTGCTTAGATTAGATGGGCCGAATTGATATGTGCTTATTTATAACTTATTTCAACTTAAATTGTTAAATAAACACATTTTAAATTTATTTTGAATTTGAAACACTTTTTTAAGAAACCAGAGGGTCAAACCAAGCAGCTCCCAAGAACACTGAAGGAGAACAAATTCTGCACTGAAGCTTTTTCAAATAAGGCTGGAGGTCATTATGAGCATTTATTTACAGTAGTTTTTTTTTGGTGATGTCTGTGTTATGTCTAGCTAGCCTGAACAGAAGGAGGATGTTCTGTATAACTTTGTATAACTGTAAAACAGATTAATATTAAAAATCTCAGAAAGGAAAGCATTCACTGTAAGACATCTGTTGTCTCTAACAAGGTGAAGAAGCTGCCAGGTCAGTTTTGTGTTTGGGCTACAAACCTGTAGGATTTCTTTATATCTTCATGGGTACAGCCTTTTTCCAGACCAAGGACTTGATAGAGAGCCTCTCCCGAGGTGGACAGGGAGCGTTGTCTTTGCTCAGCCATGTCATACAATCATTACCTAAAACTGATGAGAGAAAAACAACAAATAGTATCTTTCTTCATAAGATCTGATTGATAGGAAGAAAGCCTGTGCTACCCTTTTATTGGAATAAAATTCTGAAATGTGGATGTCCCCGGTTGAAAGATGTTCTAACAAACAAGGAAAACTTGCCATTATCTTCATCATTATTGCATTTTGCAGCAGAGAAGCTACTGACAGCAGTGAATCCATTATAAAACCAATAAATGTTATCAAATCAACCTTGAATTCTGACTCAGTAGTAATTGATTCATTGCGGTGACCTTTTATCTACTATTTATATGAGATACTGTCACATGAAAATAATATTTGTTTATTGCATTTATTTACTTTATACATTTGTGCTGTGCAGCTTGTAAATTTCTATTCACTCATTCCTGGACTACTCTAGAATTTGAAATTAGTATGAACTGTACACATATCTCAGCTATTTGCCAATTTAACAGTATGAATGAGTTTGGCGTACATAAGTGACATAACAGAATGTGATCTACCCCTCCCCCAAATGGAAGTCAAGGTTAATGTCCTCCTCGAATGGACATAACCTTAAATATCTGGAATTATCTTGGAAAGTATACACAGTACAGGCCTGGTTAGGATCTTGAATGAAAGAGAACCCCCTGGGCATCCTGCCTAAACCTTCAGATGTATTATGTCTTACTCAGTATACACACTAGAAAGAAATATCCAGAGCAAAAACACAAATTTAATTGTCTTTATGGTAAAGTCAGTTTCTCAACTTATGACACACCTAGAATGTACATTTATTTTCTAGGTCAACTCTAAAACGTCAACTACCTTGGATAAAATTTCCAAAGTGATTCCACAAGAAAAATCTGCGTTATTTTCATGAAGACAGGACCTGAAATGGTCTCCTTAGCCTTCCAAAAATGTAAATTAAATAATAAAAATAATGAAAAAAATAAATGGAATTAAATATGCCACTTTAACTGTTTTATTTTACTATTTCTGCTGTTAAATAAAAGTATTTTTACACTTTGTGGTATTTACACTTATACCATTTATAGGTTATACAGTACTTATGGGAAACTGTTTTAATGAAAAACTAGGTATACATGCTATAATAATAATAATAATAATAATAATAATAATTGCTTACACTTGTATAGCACTTTTCTGGACACTCCACTCAAAGCGCTTTACAGGTAATGGGGACTCCCCTCCACCAGCATCCACCTGGATGATGCGATGGCAGCCATAGTGCACCAGAACGCTCACCACACATCAGCTATCAGTGGGGAGGAGAGCAGAGTAATAAAGCCAATTCATAGATGGGGATTATTAGGAGACCATGATTAGGAGGTCAGGGTTACACCCCTATTCTTTTTGAGAAATGCCCCAGGATTTTTAATGACCAAAGAGAGTCAGGACCTCGTTACCTCATCCAAAGGACAGCACCATTATTTTACAGTATAGTGTCCCTGTCACTATAGTGGGGCATTAGTCCATATGGACCGCAGGGTGAGCGCCCCCTGCCGGCCCCACTAACACCTCTTCCAGCAGCAACCTTAGTTTTTCCCAGGAGTCTCCCGTCCAGGTACTGACCAGGCTCACACTTGCTGAGCTTCAGTGGGCTGCCAGTTGAGAGTTGCAGGGTGATTTTTTATAATTTTAGATTAACCTTTTCTTTAGCCTGTTGTTTTAAACATATAGGGGAGCTTCAATGGCTATCTTTGTTGCCAAATGCATTGTTTTTATAAACGTGCCAATTTCGAGAGTAAAATTAAATCCCTTTTTTCAAAGTAAGGAAAAACATTCTTTATGTACATTAGCGAACGTTTGCTTTTCCACTTCCATTGTGCTGGAAAATTGATAAATTATCTATATACTTTAGTGCTTTTCCACACTGAAAGGCGAGATGAATATTCCTTTGCAGATCTATCTAGTTACAAAACAAGGTTCTGAAAAGCTTAGGTTGTCTAATGTTTTGTGATAAGTAGTCAGAGTTGTTGTGTTTTGATTTTGCTGGTAAACATACAGTATATATTATTCACCTGTTGTGAAGTTTATGTCTAAAGAGCTGTTGTCAGCATTACACTATTAATTTATTTATTACAAAATAGTTTCACTCTCCAGGAGTCAGTACTCCCAGAACTGTTTCATATCTGACTTGACTTCAATTATTTCATCATCTGCATTTAAAGCATTGGGGTTAACACTGCTACTACTACAAAAAGTACCATGGGGTCTTTCATGACCAAGTAATCAGTCCTGACCAACTCCTGCCTTATTCAGCTTCTGAGATCTAACGAGATCAGTCTGCAAGGTAATAATACTGGAATAAAGGTGCACTAAAACTAAGTTCCTAAGTAAAAATTCCCAAATAAATTTAAGAAGAGAAACAAAGTCTGTTAAGGCTGTTACTTTCCACCACTGCTATAAAATATTTGTTACTAGTGGCTTTGTTTAGGAGTTTGCATCTACATCTGTTACGGTGCTCTTTATGTCTATTGTCACAGATTTAAAGTGGAAAAAAATAAATCTCCTAGATTTATAGATCCCGAACGGCAGAATAATGCTCAGTCTTTGTTAGAGGTCAAAATCTATACAGTGTATCTAACGATTTAATAGCTGAAAAAATGTAAACAATAAAAAAGTGTTACCATTCAAATTAGTTGTTATTATGAGATTTATTACAATGTTATTGTTGTAATCCATACAATTAAGTAAATTACACACTGAAAATTAATTATAAAGAAAAAACATTATTGAAACTTCACACAAAAAAAGGCATGATGCCCAAAATGTTGTGTTTTTCTTTTACTTTTCAGTGGGGAATCAACTAGTTTCTTCCTTCACAGCTTGCATGCTGATGTAACGCTCCACTGTAACCCAAATGTTATATTTAAGCAAATGGCCTCGTGATGGAAAATTGACAAACACTGGCAAAACAGTGACAGACACTGTTTTAATCTTCAGCTTTAAGTGCTGATCCTGTTATCCTGTTTTACAGTCTTAAGAATATTAAAATTATAGCATAGAACATTACTGTACACGATAGCAAGGCTGTATACCATAAAATAGTAGGATCTTTTATTAATTAGAACCACTGGTGTTTATCATCATGCAGATGAAGGTTAGCTACAGTATTTGTTGTCTAATATGCCAGTACAGCAGGGAGTGAAATACTGTGAAGTACAAAATGATATCAATCCATCAGTTATTGGAAAGCTGCTTTTCAAGGTGAAGGTCATGACAGTCAAGATCTACAGTATCCTGGAAACACAGAGCACAAGTTGGAACTGAGAGCATATGACTACTCTTGCACTGGAGAGGTTTTTAGTCCACTTTAAAGTGAAAGACACAATTTAGGACAGCCAATCGAAGCTACCCAGCATGCCTTTGGGAGGTGAAAACCCACACAAATATGGAAAAAACACATAAACTCCACCAGGAGGGAGTTGCATCTGTTAATAAATTGAAGATAGCCACTTCTTCACAGCATAAATAAAAAGTAATTTTTCTCAAATAAAATGTCTCAACTTTGTTTCTTCCTTTCCCTTAATAGTGGAATCTCTTTCAACAGTTTTTCATTTTGATAGTTTAATTTCACCCTCACACTTTTTGAAGGTTGTCATTAGTGGACACTTAATAAAATCCAGTTTAAATTAAAGGTACTGTACCTAAAACCTGCAACACAATCAGAAGAGCATGGTAATGGGGTTACCTGTTATAGTATTTTACCCACATATGAACAGACACCCTCAAACTATGAAACGAGGACGAATTAATCCTGGAAAAAATACTGAGATCTGCTATAACGTACCAGAGATAACATAAACAGAGTACAACATTTCCGAAGAAGGAAAAAACAGAAAAATGTTCACTGTTATTTCAAGACAGTCGGATTCTGTATTCCTCTAGTGTTCACTAAGAAACATTATCTCTTGAGGTTTTCCATTCATTATTGATAGGGCTGTGGTCAAGAAAAACCAAATATTTTAAGGCACAATCCTCTCGAATGAATATTAAATCCAATGCATATTCTAGGCAGGGGCTAATTACCTCTGAGGGTATGTGTCTAACTAAAGTCCTCCAAATGATTCACAGTGATGATTCATATTAATTTTATAATTGCCTTTGTGAGAACAATACTGCCTTTGGGGATTGCATTTGCATACATGGGCTCTACACATTTTATATGTTGTTTAACCACTTGCTGTTATTTGTTATTCAGCACACAATGTTTTTTTTGTTACATCCCAACCAGAGCTCAAATGTTTTCTCAAAGCTGATGAATAATTATAGCTGCAACAGTCTGCAACTCACAGAGGAAACTTATTCAGAATGTGCATAAATGAAGCATGACTGCTTGAGAAGAGTATTAGGAAATCTGAAAAATGCAGTGTTATACATGTTTTTGATAAAAATGTCATTCATCTCTGATGTTACATCTGATGTAGCTATAACATCAGAATATGAACAAACAAATATATTTTCCTACAGTATGTGCTTTTTCTCTGTGATCACACATGACAGTTTGTAATACAGTGGTTTAACAGTTTGATACTCCTTCTGTTTCAAGTTTCTAAGAGCAATGCCAGTCAATATCACAGACCTTCTTGTACAGTATATATGTAATATCATGCAAATTAACCAGGCTTATCTAAGGATATAAAGGTTTGTTTCGTACTTTTATCACACATTTGCTTTTTCCAATAAAACCAGCTTTGTAATTGTTAACATTTAGCCAAAAACAAACCTAGTGCGCATACAGTTTGGACCTGAAGTAAATATAATAAGTGCAAAGCTCCAATAAACACTAAGCCCAATTTCCCACAATGCAAAACTGAAAATATTTAGACGTACAGCACTGAAAAGCAAGACTAGTTAGAACCCGCATTCTGAAATGTGCACTCGATGCCTGAATGATGTCTGAACATAATTTTTTCCTTACCTGTTCCACAGTTAAAGTCCCCCGTTCTGAGCACACTACAATCCAAGGTAGATAGGTCAATAGAATCAGGTTGCTCGTCTTTGTCTCAGCAGGCTAGTGGCTGGGAAAAATAAAACATTCATTGAGTCCTGGGCTCATATTTCCGAGGCAACCGATAGCACAGAAATAGCGAGCACCTACAGTTTCGATCAGGTTTCAAGCCTATGGTTATGGTGACCAAAAAGGTTCCACTTAGGGCAGGTTGTTCAAGGAGGTAACGTTCCTTCATCAGGAAGCCCACTGCAGCCAAGCGTCTGTCAGAAAACACAACTCCAGCCTCTCTGAGCCATTCATGATGAGCTGAACTGCTGGAAACAAAGGCCTCACTTAATGAACTGACAGTGGGGCAAACCCAAGTGATGAAGTCAAGAGGTTAAAGCAGAAGACAGGGAACTGCAACTCCACAAAAGCAGCACAGGCCCAAAAACACTGTTTATTGATTAGACCTGTGCAGGGTCAGACAGAAAGGGTCTGTATATCAATAAATTAGTTAATCCGTTTGAAAAAGCAATATATCAGTAAATTTGTGATATGCCTCTTTTTAGAAAGTGTCTTAACAACTATAGAAAGTGGTTGAATGGATTATTAACACCTACAGTGCCTTGTAAATTGTTTTACCCATTGCAATCGTGTCCTATTTTATTAAATTAAAGCTCCCCCTTGTTAAAGCTCTCCTTAACCAAATACCTTCCTTATGCTTCGTTGTACAACACAGTTGTGTTCTTCTATCATATTTTTACTTCGGTTCTGAAGTTATTTTCATTAAGTCTGGTGTTCCTCAAAGCTCAAAACGCTGCCCCCTGCCATTCAGCAGTTACTGTACGTGGTCCCACTTGGTCAGTTATTAAAATCGGATAGAATGAATCATTCATCTCTATACTGCTGATACTCAAATCTACATCCATACTAAACCTGACTCTGAAGTAGATATCTCTGCACTCTCTTATTGCATCTCTGACATAGAAATGGATGACACAAAATTTCCTTCATACATACTGTGATAAAATTGAAGTCTTGCTTCTGGGAACCTTCCATCAGCTATGTAAAGCCAATGCAGTAATCCTGTCTGTGGATGGCACTGTACTTGAATTTCAATCTAGACTGGGGGTGATATTTTATCCAAGCTAAATGTTGTCATGGATGTCGGGAGGCATGCCTTGGAATGGCCAGGAGACCCTATGCATAGCGGCAAAACAGGGGTTAGCCCGGGCTCAGGGGGTCAGATGATGTCGGGTAGAAACCTATGCCCTCAGGCCACAGAGGAGACGACCTGGTGCTAGGCGGGTCTCAGGACATCCGAACCCTCAATGCTGAGCGAGGAGGAAAGGGTAACCCAGAAACATATAGCCCCAGACAGAGACACACCGGAAGGACAAGCAAAGCACAGGGAAACTAGGGACAGGACAGAGTAGGAGCGCCCTGTAGCTGTAGAGGGTGTGACAAATGTTTGACCCACATATCCAAAATACTGTTAAAAACATCATTCTTCCATCTCAGAAATGTCTCTATGTTGCCTAATCCTTTCAACTTGAACTTGAGCACCTATGTTGCCTCTGACTGTAGCTGAAAGGCAGATCAACACAATAATCTTTTGCAAAATTGATCATTGCCCTGCTCTTCTCGTTGAGGTATGTAAATCCACACAGAACAAACTTCAGTATGTCCAGAGTCCTGACCAGGCTGTGTGCAAATGACCACATCACTCCTGTCCTGGAGTCCTTGCATGGGTTCTTATCAGGTTTTGAGTCAACTTCAAAATCCTCATGCTCACCTGCAAGTTTCTACATGGCTTGGCACCTATTTGACCTATTATATTCCTTCTTCCCAACTTGCAACCTTAGTTCATCTGACTCTGGTCTGCTGTTTGTCCTCCGAGCTTTATTATTATTATTATTATTAATAATATTATTATTATTGATCACCACTCAATTCCACTTCTTATGTTCTTACGTTCTATGATCTTCGCACTAGTCACAAATAGTTTCTTAAAAGTTGAAAATCAAACCCCACTTACTTTTTTGGTGTCAAAATTCCATATTTGTAACAACTCTGGTATCATGTATGTAAGGTATCAAGCGTACCAGACAAATGAAAATGATTTTCAGTGCACCACAATACAAGATTAAAAAAGAAAAAAAATGGATGTTTTAGCTGAATAGAGAAGTCGATGTCTGTTTCCTAGAAAAAAATGTGACGCATCAGAGTCTACACAATTACAACACAAAGGATTATGAAATGGAATTGTTTTCTTTGTGTTACATATAGACCAAATTAATGTTAATACTTTGTTCTCCTTCAACTTTGTATACTACTTTAGCACTGACATATTTGTACATTGCGTTTTGGTTAAAAATACAGTGCAATCATATCATGCAGCACAGTTTAAATATTTTAACTACCGTTAGGCCTTTTTTTAAGTAAACATAAAGAATGTCAAATTAATAAAGATCAAAGGCAAGTTGCAAGAAAGCAGAGTTTTTAGTTTCACTCATGAATGATGTTGAGTGAATATAATTTTAGAAAATATCAACCTTTTTTAATATTAAGAGCAGATTTTGTTGTATATGTTTTTTATTAAAGCAGTGCATATGTTTTATACTTTTCACAAGATTGCATATATGTTGCACATGAAATCAAATATAGAAATTGACAGCAGTGAAATATATTATGTTATCTGCGGCACAGAAAAGCGGAGGGGAAACAAGACGTTTTTCACCTTTAGAGAAACAGCGCCACCTAGCAGTATGATATGTACTTGTTCTTACTGTTTTAGTATAGGGAACAATTCAATAAATGAAGTTTTTATAAATAAATTAAGCGTAGAGGGAACCCATACTTAATATATTTAGAAAATATTTAGAGACTGTTGATTAATGTGATAAAGTGACCAATAAATCTTATTAAAAAACCCAAAGAAAAACGTGCTTGCTGAGAAAGTGTGACTGGATTTACTGTATCTCAATAAATGAATATCTTACAGTATCTTTGTTCTTGAAAAAAAAACATTTCCAGGACACTGTCAAAGAAACTGACATAGTAAAACAGTTGTGAAACCAGAGGACAAAAATCCCAGAACTCTGGCTTCCTTATTCAAACTGCTGGATAAAGTCCTCAGAGCAATTAGCTGTTTGCAGTCAAACAAGCTACAAGGGCCCAATGAATCAAAATAAGCTACTGATTTACAGGTTATATGTTTAAAATGTAAATACTCCACTCCCTTGTTAGCAGCTACTAACAAACTGCTCGTATTTGTCAGACAATTTAAAATAGCGTGCCTTTCATTTTTATTTGTTTCCGTTCAGTCCACATTACCTTCCTGACCATATTTTTTCTTGCTTAAAACATCTGTTTTTATTTCTGTCTGTCAAGCTCATTCCATGACAACTTGGTGAAGTGACAGTCAGGGGATTGGAGAGGCAAACTATATTTATAACTATATTTACTGTATGTATTCAATATATACTGTATAGATCGTTTTCCACCAACGCTTTGGGGTATTGTCATGCTCAAAAACCAAACCATTGACACACAAGGTACACCCGAGAGTACATTCCAGGGCTTTGAAGAACAGAATGATGTAGTTCCATACCAAGCATATCTACTACTGTATTTGTACATCTCCTATTAGATTAGGGCTCAAACAACATGTTTAAAATCTCTTTTCTTTTTTTCAGCATTTCCTCCTGTTGCTGAAAGGTTTTACTGGTTTGTACCAAATTTCTCCACTAATTTCTTGGTCAGTCGTTTTTCCCTTTCTCGTGTGGCTACACTTGTTAATACACTTGTTGTTAATCCGCATTCCCATACATGAAATACTGACGTCACTTGAATCTTCCCTCCCATATCACCCTTCATCTTCAAATGTAAATACATTGTCATCATGTTTAATCCCATTCCTTCGAGCAAATATACTGTAATTTACTCTCCATACACTACTTCTCTACTCCACGATCAAAATTATCTGACTGCTATTGATTAGCAGGCCCATCACTGTCTAATCTTGACCCATAATTTCATATCTCTGTGGCCTAAATTATTTCTGACAGTTTATAATTATGCTGTACATTATAACTATAGCTTTTTGATACTGTACATAGTGTCGTATAATTCTTTATCTTATGGACTCCTTTATCTTCACCTGTAGTGTAAACATATTTCAGACAAGAAAAGGCATTTAATTCATGTTCAAAATGACATTGAAAATATTATTTAAATAATAAATAAGTCCATTCCGGAGCCACATCCCAGATGGGTGTCGTTCTTGGTGGGTTAAGATCATTTAATGAAGTTCTAACCAGGGTTTCTACTATAAGTGGATTTTAATTTATAGATCCAAATTAATTACAATTTCAGAGACAGCTATAATATATAATGAATTAGCAGGTGTATTTACAATATGTGCATC